CGTCACTCACCTGCACCTGGGAGGATCCCATTGACTCCACTCGTGACTACCGGTACTGGGTCCTCTTTGGACTTACAAGCCAGCAGCTGATCCGTGGTGACGAGGGCTGAAGCAGCAAACTGGGCGCTGGCTTGGTCTAATGTCTTGGATATGAGCGCCTGGAAACCAGAGACATGTAGAAAAAAAGAAAACGTGGGTCTGTGCCAAATGCTTGACTCCTGTGTTAAAATGTATGAAACTGCTGAAACAACTGAGCTCAGCACTTTTGCTGCCAAAGCAGCTAAGGGCATTAATGCTGCTCGTGGGAATGAGGATGTGTCCCACTTCCTAAGGATGCGGGGAGTGACCTTCAGCTGTAAATCAGTGGGAAAAGTCTGGCTCGTTTAGTTTGACTACTTGGCCAGAAAAGCACATTTTAAATGTGCCACTTGGTTGCAGAGAATGACACAAGTGTTGAGAATCATCCCAGCAATTCTGGACAGAATATTACACTTCTGTGGTAATACCACCTCCTCCTTCTTCTTATCCCGTTGCCTTCTTAATGCTGGACAGCTACCTGCGTCTACTACAATAACAAGGTACAGAAAGGGTATTGTTGTCTGTCTACACTGACCTGTGTGTTGGTAGTTGTAGGAACAATGTTGGCTTGTTGCTGCTGCTGTTCGCTCTGCTCCAGCTGCTGTTTCTGCATGAGGGCCAGCTGCTCCTGGTGCTGCTGGTACTGCTCAGCTGTGAACACTGTGTGTGAGATAAAAGGCAAGGGTGAAAAACAGGATGGGGGAATGCGCTTTTTTGCTTCAACATTCCTTGGAATTAAGGGCTGACACCCACATCAAAAAAGGAATCAATAGGTTACATCACTACTTATTTTCCCCATCCCTAGTTATCACATGCAATTACAGATGCCGTATACATCAAAGTGATACAAGAAATTCTGTTGATTCAGTGAAGCTGCAATTAATGTTTTGCACAGAAATCATGTATTTCAAATTTGGAAAAATTTTGAAACAAGATAATAGTCACTGATAAGTTTGAGCCCATTTAAACAGGGTTCCACATAATCCATGGCCATGTGACGGCAAAGAATTTATTGAGCGAGCTGATTGGCCACCTGGGACTGTTTCTCCTCTAATCGCAGTTACAAATTTACTTGTGAAGCAAACTGGCTGAAGCAACACTTAGTAATGAGGATTTTTTCTTGTATTCAGTATTTTCATGTTAATTAAATATATCAAGTTACTGGGTGGGAGATAGCAGTTTTGCTTAGTGTGGAAACAGCAGGAAAGTGATGCTGGTGGTGCAGGCCTCAACGTTATTAGCATATAAGGTTGAGCCCAATTGGCTTCTACACAGCAGTAAAGACTGCAGGACTGTTAAGGGTGTGTGTTTATGCTCCAGCTGTCAGCAAGCAGATTATAGTTGTTAAATCAATTCCCAGATAAAAATTGATCCTGAAAATGCTTACTATTGGATTATTTACTCATTTGTGACAGTATTGATACCAACAGTGCTGTCTTTGCCTCCTCCAGCTTACACACAATTTCAGCTAACACTGCTGCTGACAGGCAGGCACACAGTCCCCCTTCACTAGCAACTGCAGTAGAGTTCACCTTTACAATGCTGAACAACACAAGAGGTCACTACTCCTCCTGCCTCAACTCCTTTTAAGTAATGAACACTTATTCATAATGTTAACCCTGACTGGTGCATACATGCAAGGTAGCCACTTTTAGCAGCTACCCAACAGTAACACACCCAGCTTCTGGGAGTCACAAGCTAGTTTACTCCTGGTGCCTGTTAAAGGCTCAGATAATTGGCAGAGCTGCGACAGGAAGCTCATCTGGCATAAAAATCAGTGACAAATTAAACATGTGGATTAATGTGCTCTGTCAGCCTTTGTGGAAATAAGGAAGCCATATTAGCTGTTTTCTATCGTTATGATAGCAGCAAGCAGATAAGGCAAATTTAAAACAGCTAACTATAGGTGCTATGCAGCAAGAGCCATCAGTTTGTCCATTTGTAAAGTTAATAGATGGTTAATTTAACAGCATACCATAGTTGTATTTAAAGACTGTGGTTTCTCTTAAAGTCCCAGATTAAAGCTGTGAAATTTCTAGCATCAGTCAGAAAAAGGGGCCGCCAATAACGGTCCTTTATCAAGCCACTTCATCAACATGCTTAAAGATGAAGAAAACTAATCTTTTCAGCTGCTTACAACGACCAACACTTTGTTTTACATAGAAATGAAGGTGCTGAAGTAAGAACAAGCTGAAACAAAACCATTTCTAAGCAGATGTTGGGTTTAGCGTAATTTTTTAATCTGGTTGATTTCTTTGGCTGCTGATAGCCTGCAGGGATGTCAAAAGAGGGAAATAGTGTTTGGTTTACTACATAAAAAAAAAATCTTTAGATACTTTATTAATAATGTTATATAAAGTAACTAAAACATGATTCCATATTGTTACAATTCAAGCTACTCCCGCCTTTTTAGCAGACAAAAGAAAAACGTAGGCGGCCAGTAAACCCAATCTGCTGGTCCGGCACGGTGGATGAATTTAAAATAAATTACATATACATGCAGCATTTATTTATTTCAAACTCATTCAAGAATGATTGTTAATACAAGCAGTTACAGACACGACTTGGCTTTCTGTAGATGTATATAAACGTAGTTCCTTTGGGGGGCTTTTAGAGAGCACGATCCAAAGGTTTGGTTGGTGTAGGCGTGTTGCCACAGGGTACAGAAAAATGTAAAATAAGCTAGAAAGACCAGTTTGAAGGCCTCTCAAACACAGTCACACAATGGTTTATGCTTCGGGGGCATGACTGTACATTTCAAACCTGTATATGCACAGTGATATAAGGTTCATGCTAGCAGGGCTTGTGGCCACTTCGTGAGTTTGCACATGTTGGAGAGCTCAACGGTGTACAACACTGCACTGTGACCGAGAAGGTGTCAAGCTAGGACAAGAATAACAATAGCAAACAGGGACATAGTTCATGTTTTCATATATAGTTTGTTTTACACTGCATTGTAAACAGCAACATCTCTATTCAGGTTTAAACTATGGCTCAATGTTTTGAAAAAATGAGCTCAAATGCTTAATAAGAGAAGACAAACCCCCAAGAAAATGTAGTTTACAGTTATATCTGAAGCTAAATAGCTTCTCAGATATCCAATTACAGGATATCCAATTAAATGCCTGCCACCTCATGACTCTAGGCTGTGGACATGCACACAATAAACATCATTTTTATTTCAAGTTTTTCAAAGGTGGCAGCAAAGGCTGAGCAAAAAAGACATTTTAATTAAAAATAAGATTTTGTTTTTTGAATAATTGAAAAAAGGAAAAAAAAAGCTGAAATTTTGGTATAAATGTTTACTACTGGCTTTTTAGGAAGTTTGTCCTATAAAGTAGTGTGTCTTTGCCCTTTTCTGAAAACCCTAACTCAACTATTTAGTTAATTTTGGGTCAATAAAATGATTCATAGATCAGCTAGACTAACAGGTGCCCTCACGCCCTTGCTTGGTCAGGAACCAGCTCCTTACCAAATAACCTTGTGCGCCCCACCTCCCCAACGTCTGTATTTTATCCATTTATTTATTTCACTCCCCCTTAACCACTCCTCCTACTCAGGGTCACAAAGAAGCTGGAGCCTATCCCAGTCACAGGGTGAGGGAGGCTACACCCTGCAGGGGATACCAGACTTATTTTTAATTAAAATTATATTTAAAATATAAAGAAATTTGGTTCTTTTTTGGTTCTTTCTTTCTTTACTAAGGGACAGCCACAGTAGATGGATCCACATGTTTAGTTTGGTACAGATTTTACACTGGATGACCTTTCTGACACAACACTCCCATTTATCCGGGCTTGTGACCGACAATATGAGCACACAAGCCCCATGAATTTGTGTCTCCTCTTAAACTGAGGATTTTTTGTAATGTATGACGCTTAATGTCTGAACAAATCTGCT